ATACTTTTTCCCTGTTCTTTTATCTTTTGACTTAAAGACCCATTCAGAGATGAAAAAAAACCCAAAAGCCTAATTCCTGTAATTGTACTAGAGATACTAAATACCCTCTTGCCTCAAGAAAATCAACAGTGCCTGGTACTACACAGGTGTTTTTGTTCTAGACTAATGAGCATCCTCCTTGAGGAGCAGCTGGTGCTGAGTGGCAGGCAAGAGGGTGGGCTATAGCTCAGCTCCTTCCTATAAATGGGAAGGAGAAATCCTATTGTGTAGTGCCAGTTGTGTCTAGTTAGTTTTATGTTAGTACAATTGCACAATTGCAGGTTAATGGAGGGTTTTGGTTTTTTTTTAAGCTTTTGCTGTTTTTCTTTAATTTATGCTCACAGAACTTGTGGGTAAATGTGGCAGCTGAAGAAAAATGTGGATGTAAGTATACTGAGTTGACAGGGTATGAAAAATCTGTGTAATCACAAGGGGGGAGGAAGTGCATTTCAGAAGTAAAATGCCTCTCCTGTAGAACTTTTGCCTTCCAGTTGTCTTTGTGTCTCTGGAGTGTTGTAGTCTTGCTCAAAAGAGAGCGAGAGTTTGGTTAGTTTCTCTAAAAGTATGACAAATACGACCTGCTTTTGTCTCAGGTTTGGAAGAGGAGAAACTTTTGTGCAATGCACAGATTGACTTGCAAGACCTTAAGGTTTTCAGCTTTGCCTAACCTTTGCTAACACACTGCAGCAGTCTGTTCTTTGAACGTGTTGACCCTCTTAGGCCTATAAGAGCCTTTGAGACAGTTAATTTTTCCAGTGTTGACTACAGAGGCTTCTGATTTTAGATCTGAATGTCCCTTTTTCAACCCTGCTACCACTGACCCACTGCATAGTAAGTATCTCACATTATAAAGTGGTTATTCACAGAGGGCTTTGACCAATGCTATCTGGAGGGTGGGAGATGCTTTCCTGGCAGTGGGATGCGAACACTGTGAGGCAGCTCCTCAGCCAGGATAAAAATCATGCTTGGTCACTGCAACTCAATGGATGTCTGTTAATTCATCTGGAAAATTCACGACCCTGGTGAGATCACGAAGTTCAGTGTCCTTGACTGAGTGCAATACTTTGGAGTCAAGATTAAAAAGTCTTTCTTCCTACAATACCCCTGAATTTTGACTTTTCTGTAAGTCCTTTTATATTGTTTTGTGCTAAAAATGGCGGTATTCTCCAAGGAACCTTTGAGGAACGTTGCGTGTGTTCTTCCTTTCTCTTTTACTAGGTTATAGCATTTTCATATGAGTAGGAATATTGAGCCCTGAAAGCTCACTTGGATCCTGTGCTCATAGGCTGTGTTTCTTGTGTGCAGAGGTTAAACTCCACTGATGCTGGTATGGCCATTGCCATAGCCACTTTGTTTGCTATTTGCTTATTTTATTTGTTTATTCTAGAAGATCCTTGGTCTTTTATTTTTTTATTTAGTTACATCAAGATTTTGAGGAAACTGTCTTAGCTGAAGGAGTGCACTCCAACAGCCGTGTCTGGAGAACAGTCTAGGGGGGATGATTCGCCTGTGAAGGATGTGCTTTGGGCACTTTCCTCTTGCTTTTTGGTGAGGAATTGAAAGGTGGAATCTCCTTGTGCTGGAATGAGTCCTCTAAGCAGCAGATTTACAGGGCTCTTTTGCATTGCTGCAATGCAGCTAAACACTCTTCATGTGGTGCAGCTTTCCTCTGCTCCTTTTGAAAACAAGCAAGGTATTGGGAAAGATAAATTATCTGCACTTTGTGTTCAGCCTGCCACAAAATTTTTTGTTTCTACAAGAATATTTGTCTTCTCTTTGGGGACATCAGGCTGCAATTAATACTGTAGTTGTTGTACACCTCAGGAGGCAAAGGTAATTTACTTGAGTTTAAAAAACACAACAAAAAAAAACAACCCAACAAAAAAGAAAACAGAACATAAGATGCTGTTAAAGAGAGCATTAACCTGGCAACAGTAGTGACCATCAGCATCGCTTTCCACTTGGCTACACAGAAATTGGGTAATGTATATGAAGCTTTACTACTGCACCAAAATGTCTGTTTTCAGCCAGTGAATAAGCCCTTTATCATCAGTCAGACATGTCAGCTGAGGATCTCCTTCCTTTATAACCCTGAGTCCCAATCCCATCAATTCTGGAGGCAAAACTGTTAATGGTGTAGGTGATGTCAGGTGTACAGAGCAGTCTCATGAGGCTCTTTGAATCCTGACTCATTAACACCTGGATTATTTCACCCTTTAATCCAGTCATCTGTACCCGAGCATGGATGTTTCACAGCTTTGCCATTGTTGGTTGACTCTGTTATTTATATATGCATCTCTCTTTTTCATTTTATTTTGTTTTTTAATATATTGCACAGATGAAGGCACATGTATCTCACAGAGCTTTCCCCTCTTCCCAGACAACTTCTCACCATTCCTTCCACTGGAAAGCTGGGCAAAGTTATCTTTAATGCTGTGGATTTTATCGCCTTGAAATCTAAATAATTAAAAAAAAACAAAAGAAGTGTTCTCAGGCTGCAAGGTGGCCCTCGAACGCCTCAGTCAAGTTTTGAGTTTGTGCAGTGAATTTTTCCTTTACTTTTTACATTATTTTCTTCTGCTTGACACTTTTTTCAAGTCCACCTAAAAGATGAAATGGACTGTTGAGGAGGAAATGTGAAAGCTGATGGTACACAAAATGCTGTCAAATGCAGAAAGCAAGCAAATGGACAGAGGTTTAGTATTTCCCTGCTCAACCCTTTCAATCTCTTTTGCTAATAATGACTTTCCTTATTATAAAAGCAATTGCAGATGTACTCAACAGCAGAAAAATGTAACTTTAGAAATGTGATTATTCAGTGTGTGAGTAAAAAAAGGTCTGTCACCTTTCATGGAAAGATTCAACTCACAAATTATATGTATTTGGAGTTCAATGTTGAAAAGGTGTTGGGAGCATGTCAGAGTCGCTTGCAGTGTGCATTATAAATAGTTATAGGTAAGATGTGCGGGTGGTTGTTCATAAACAGCCTATTGCTCTATTGGACCTCAGAAAAGACAATTAGAAAAAAAGGCATCTGTTCTTCTAGTGTCAGCACTATCTTTGCTCTGGTGCAGGACGTTGCTCAGCAGTGACCAGGTCTTCCCAGCTCAGCTGTGGGATTCGTGTTGTGGTGAAAAGGGAAACCTGCCCTCTGCTATTCACAGGTGAAACGTTCTGTCTGTGGTGAAGACTAATCCCTCATGTGTCACTGTCTCACCACTGTGGCATTTCCCCCACTGCCATCTCAGCAAGTGACATGGGACATCTGATGAGGCCATCTCCTCTGCTTGTGCTGCCCCTGTCTCATCATCAAGTCTCTGTCCTGGGTTGAACCAAGAACCTGAAAACTCAGATCTGTTTGTAGCTGTAAACCCATCAAATATAAAACCCTGTACTTACCTGAGAGCCCTTTGTGTCATTAGCAGGATACTTAGAGCCAAGGAGTTTAGTTGTAGGCACATAACTACCCTTTTCCCAAGCATGTCCCCAGAGCATGGATTCTGCAGTGTGATTCTGCTCTCTAGGTCTTCCTCCTTTTCACGTGCAAGAAGCCTTAGCTCCAAGTCAATGCAACTCTGCTGTCTCTCCTAGTTTACCTTTTGCGATATGTGTTCTCATTTGTGCTATTTTGATCTTCTCCAGCAGAAGGTGTGGTAGCCCTTTTGTGGAGTGCTGCAGAAGTAGCCTTGGGTCTTCCTTTCTGAGCTGACAAGTGCCCCACTTGGTATTGTCTTTTTTCTGTTGGACTAAAAATGAGAGTTACATTGCTGTATTGCAGTCACATCTCTTGGTCAGTGAACAGAGCTTCTTGAAACCAGCAGGCTATACTGTATGTTCAAGCTTCCTAGATTCCATTAACATTTTGTTAATGAAATAGTGCTTTGTCAAAGAGTCTTGAAAACTTAAAAGGGTATTTAAGCTTCTTCCATGAGTCAGTGCAATGTAATGTCAACATTACCACGAAGGGATAATTCAGAGATGTCACACAAAGCATGTGTTATGCCATTTGCAGTCTAGCAAAACAGCTCAGCATTTATGTTGTTTAATCCATTTGCAAAAATCTCTTGTTCTGCAAAAGTTTGAGATCAATCTTGTCAGCATTTACTGACACAAAGCTGATGTAAGTCGCTGGGCTCCTATTGACTTCATCTAAGTTGTAACAATTTACTCCAGCCTCAAATAGAGCCCAAATTAGGCATATGAAAAACTTGATATCAAACTTTCAAAGAATATAGAGATGAATGGCGCATCCTGCAAGTGAAAATGTGAATAGAAGTAGAGTGAAATGAATAGCTTGCAATGGTCTGGGATGGTGCAGACATACTTTGAAGACACTTAAAAAGATACAACGTTATATAAAAGTCTGCATTTATGAAATAATGTAATTTTCAGGCTAGAAATAAACAGGAAATACAGAAATAGAGAGTTCAGATCTGAGGTCTGGCAATGAGTTTGGGGACACAGGGGCTAATATCCAAAAGGTATGTGCTGTGGTGTCCTGGGTTTACATCATTGTCACAGTGAGTTTGGTCAAGGTACATGAATTTCCTGCTTCCATTCCTTTCTTCCTTTTTTTAGTAACTCTGTAATTGTACCTAGCATGTAAGGAATTTGTTTTATCCTACTGGACATTGCCGTAATGCTGTTTGTTTTACCTTTGCACTTTTTAATTCTTTTCCATTAAAGCTCTCTATAATTGATGTATTTGAATGTAATGAAAGGTAGCTTTAGCTTCCTTTGAAGAAAACAGACTGCCTTACTTCATACTTGGCTTGATCCAAACTGCTTTCCCATGTTTATCACTTAGCTGTGCTAAATCTATTTCAGTTTTGGAGTTCCCAGGTATCTGGGATTACCCCTGCAATATGTAAATCGATGTGAAGTTCTTCAAAAATAATTAACATATTTTGGTGGCAAAGGTTTGTATTTCACTCACATTCAGGATTTTTCTTTCAAACCAGGCATTGTGGAGACAGGCAGCATCACAGACTGCTTGAGCAGCTCAGCAGGAGAAGAGCCAGCCCTGCACTGACAATGTGAGTGAGTGGGGAAAAATAGCCCTAATGCTGTGTTACTGGTGGTGGGTCAGGCACGCTGAGGTAATTTGCAGGTTCTTTCTGAGTAAGGGATACTTTCTGGCTCGATTGGACACAGCAGGAAGAAAAATAGTATGAGTCTCTTCATTTGTGCTGTTTTACAACTAGGAAACATATAGGGTATGCACCAATTGCTCTTTCTGTGAAGACCTGTGGAGGGCTTGCAGCGTCGTTGCTCCAGGTGAGGTCACTGCAAGAGCAATGAAAGTGAGAATAAAACATGGGAAAAAGAAAGCACCTTGCAAATACAGGCTGAAAACAGGTTGTATAGCATAGTGTGTGTTCTTGCTGCTTTACATTATGAAAGGCTCTCAGAATGGTTAGCTCTTCCTGAGAGACACCTCGTAGCAAATGATGCTATGTGTGAGTACATGTAGTACATGCATAATTTTACAACTCAATTAAATTTTGTAATTATCTCCCACATCACAGTATATTTGATCAGGTTCTTTAATAATACATTTGCTAAGGAGGAAGATTTGAAAAACCACATATACATAAGAAGCAGAATCCTATCTAAAGTTTGATCCATATTGGCCTGCTGTTATAAACAAAACTTGGAGTAAGCAAGCAGAATCTGAAATACCACTGCAGCAAAATGAAGCAGGAGGCAATGGAGGCAATGTTTAAACTGAGTTTAAAAGAAAAACAAAACCAGGTACTTCTAATAAACACAGAAGTTTATGCAGGAGTAATGTTGCTGCATAAGTGAAGCACCATTCAGACAAAGCCTGTCCCAAAGGTTTTACAGCTTTTAATAAGACAGCTACAATATAAATAAGAGGAGTCTGAGGAAGCAGTGTAGAACACTGTGCATTCTAACCTAGTATTTTAAAAGAGAAAAAAACAAGTCCTTGAAGACAGTAGATGGTAGAAACTGTGTAAAGAGATGGGGTTTGTATCTGCAGCACTGAAGGTTTGAAGGAAGAGGGAGGTGGTTAGCTTCAGGTGTGTGATGGCAATCGGAGCAGGGAATAGACCCTGCTAACTCAGGGCAGTGGGACTAAATCCCATAGATGCAACTGCCCTTTCTCAGTTGCAAACATGAGACTTCCTTGCAGACACTGAGGTGCTTGCATCTTATCAAAAAACAGGCATTACCAAGATTTAATCTAAACTGTTAAAAATAAAAAAAAGGCTGGGTGCCTGATACAAATCCTGCACAGATAATCTGCAAGATTTATTCTTCTGCTTCACTTAAAAATCCACTTTGGATTCCCTTAACCTCATCAGTGATGTTAAACATCAGTTGATCTGCTTGATGTGAACCTGCATCACTCCTTGTCTCACTTCTCCATGTATAAAATAACACTTTTTTTCCCTTCTTTTCTGCATTTCCCATGTAAATGATAAATTCTGGGGAAAGCAGTTCTGTATCACTCAGTGTTTAGACAGCACCCATCCTGGCAGAGCCCTTATGTTACCCAGGGGCTTCCAGGTCCGACCACAAAACAGGTAATTGTAATTTCTGACCCAAGCAGAATATTTCCTTCGTATGACATTAGATTAGGTAATTAAAAGAACTCAGTGGTTTTACCACTCTATCATATATTAAGCAACTGCTTATTCTAGTTTCCTTGTTTCAGGTGGTTTGAACAGAGGTCTGTGGTGTTCCAGCTCATTGGAAACTTTTGTGCTTAAACCAGGAGGATGCTATAAATGGAGCTAATCTGTAAGTTTTCTGGAGGCTATTATGTCTCCTTGTTTGTTTTTTGTTGGTTTGTTTGGTTTTTATCCCTAAAGGAGACATGGCTCTGTATGTGTCTGTGTGTGAGGGAGAGAGAGAAAGAGCATTGCCTAGAGGGTTTCAGTTGTCACACTGTCTAAATATCCCTTATTTTTAGTTGGAGTCTTCTGAATGTGAGATCCCACTACAGGTAGGTGAAGTGACCTCTTCGGTTTTGAATCTGCTCTTCTCTGGCAGATGCAAGGCTGCAGCTTTGAACAGACACCCCCTCCTGCTCCATGCAAAGCTCTTTGAATTGCCCCTGATACGCTTCTAAGGCTCCCTGGTTGTATGGGAGGCACTTTGAAGATGAATGCCCCAGCATAAGGAAAACATGAAACAAAACCTACTCCCTTATGTCAGAGTGTGCAGATTTCTCAAAGATCTTCAGTACAATGGTTGCTCTTTGGTGAGTGAGAGGAAATAGGCTGGTTCACCAGCTTGTAAAAGCAGAACAGAATTGCACAGGGCTATCCCTTGGGTGGTAGATCAGGCAAAAAAAAAGGCATTTGGGGGTCTCCACAATATTCAGGTCTTGCAAAACTTATTTCAAGTTGACTTCATTGGATCTTACTTGATGAAGACAAATTTATTATTAGAAATTATTCTTCCCCCTGAAGTTTGCTATAGTTTCAAGTCAACAGATATGCCACGTCCTCTTGAGGGGGAATAGTTTTCTCTGTCTCCATGAAAATCATCACAACCCAGCACCTTAAGGTATATGGAGCCTTCATGATTTTCTAGTGTAATTTGGACGTGTCCTGGAAGCTGAAGGACCCGTGTGTCCTTAGGACAGTGGTAGAATGGTAGGACGTTTTCTCTGTCATATTCTGAAAATTTCTGTGACAGTTGACATGAAACTGCCTGTTAATGTGTCTTTTAAACCTGATGGATCAGTTTTTCTGGCCAAGGTGAGAGGTCATCTATGGTCCAGAAGTTTCTATTACCATCAGATGAATGAACTCATTTCCTTGAGGGATGAATGGGCTTCTAATGTAAAGAAAAATGAACTGATGTCCCAGAAGAGACTTGGTGAAGAAACAGAGGGAAGAGGAAGAGTAAAAGAGGTTTTCTCTAAAAAAAAAGAGAAATTGATTAGTAGAGATTGGTGATACTCTTCTCACCTCTTTTGGATGACTACTACAATGCAGATGTGTGAACTCCCTGTAAAGTAAATGAGTTTTACTTTACTGCTGAGTAGAAGCAGAACCCTCTGGGCTGCAATTCTCATATGATAGATCCCTCTTCCTTCCAATCAATTAATTCCATCCTAAAAACATCTATTCCTCATCGTTGACTTTAAAGAGATTTTAGATGACTAGCTCAGATACAGCTGTCTACACAGTAAGTGATTAAAGTTGGGTTGGATGAGCTGGCAGACTACATGGTTTTTTTTCTTCCTTCATGCAAACCCTAAATCAAAAGGCATCTCATCGGAGTATTATAAAATGCAGTCTTCAGAGGGATAGTCTTCTACTTCCATATTCTGGCATCTGAAGGGAGGAGGGAGACTCCCATCAATTTAGAGAGAGGTAAAGATTTCATCTCCCTCTAGAAATCATGGCTATAATGGGAAATTCAGACATTTATGAGATTTGCTTAGGCAAGGCATAGCTGAGCATGTGGATATTTGTTTGTCTTTATAGTATTACAGCAAAAGCAGAACAAAAGACTATTCTTATGGTTTCTTTTTGTTCTTTCCCCTCCTCTTTTTATTATGCTAATGAACCAACATGTATGGGGGGGGGCAGATACAGTCTGTGTGACCTTATAAACTGAAAACCTTACCAGCCCTCTCCCTGTTGTTGCAAAACAGAATAAACTGCAGGTGTTTATTAGTGGGAAACCTCCCAAAGGAGCATTTACCAGTTCACCAGAGGGGAATCCTCACAAAAACTCCATGTAAGCTGTGCCTGGTTTATGTTTGAATTTTAAGAACAGGTAAGGTTGCAAGTGATTTAAGGAAGTTTGTGGTATTTGGTGACTATTTCCATTGGGTTTCAAAAGCTGGCAAACCTGACACATACTATATTTTTTCTCTATTATTTTTTCTTTTAAATCAATATAAATTTCAAGAATGAGAGATGGATGACTTACTCTAGTTTTAAATCAGAACGGGACTCACTGTGACACTGCCTATATTTGTTTCCCCTAAATGCTAGTTTCTTGGCATAATGGGTAAAGTATCAAATTATGATTTAAACATACAAATAAAGCGTGCGCCTCTTTTCCTATCTGTAAGTAATGTTCTTCCCCCAGATGATAGTCATGGCTGTATGTTTTCTTAATTGAATCTGCATATCTTTTCCTCTGATAGTCCAGTGGCGAATATTGATAGTTGCAATGATTGCCTCTTTATTGGTATTTGTGTTTTCTCTGGGATGCTCCAACTTTTTGCAGTAAACACTTTTCAGGTTTTCCTACTTCTATAGTCTGGTACTTAGAGAAGTTGATGATTCTGGTGGAACTGTAGGACTGTGAGCAAGACTCAGCATTTTGATTTGTTGTGCAGGTCATGTATTGGTAGCTGGTATCTCCTTTTATCTTTTCTGGTAGAAATATATTCAATTGTTACTGATTATATTTAGCAAGCAAACTAAATATTCCTCTTCTATCTGTTTTCTTCTATTTGTCCCTAGCTTGAAGGGTTAGTGGCACTCAATGGTGGATAAATGCAAGAAAATCTAATAATGGCCTTCTAATATACCCATTTATCTGGCATCATATTTTATTTTAACTCTTAATGCAACTGTACAATCATTGCTCTATTGCTATAATTGGATTTTGAAGTATATTTGTACTATTTAACTACATCTATAGCATTTCCATAAGCTTATTCACTGTAATTAGTAATCTTATAATTTTTAGTGAAATCATATTTTACATCAACTGCTCATTTTTCTCTTCAAATTCTTCAACACATTTGCACCAATTTTGCTTTTTACACTGGAATTTCTGGCATAAATAATCATTAAGATTTTTTTTTTTTCCCCACTGTGAATGAGAACAGTTTAATCCAGCTTTTATTGAAGTCAATGGTAATCTTTTCATTTACTTCAGTGGAAACTGGATCAAGCGAATAGGTTGCAAATTGCGTTCAAGGCAAAGTCACATCTTATCACAGAAATCATTGTGTAGCAAAGCATGGTGTATTGATGGAAGGTTCAAAATAGCTGATTGTTTCCAGATTTTCTTGCCAGATAATGTGTAGATTCTCATATCCAACTTTATTTGTTTTTAGTTCATAAATTGTGGCACTTCAACAATTTTCAAAATATTCCTTTTAACCTGATTTTTCTGACAAATTAAAAAAAAACAACCTTCCAGTGAAAGATTTTTTACAAAAGGGTCTATCTAAAACTTTGCTTACCAGACACCACATTAGCTATTTGTTAAATTCAACAGCTTGAAATTGGGCATTTTTTCAGTTTAAGAAAAATCTCAATTTTAATTGAAAATAAACAGACATTTGATTTTTATTTTTTTTTTACCAGCTCTCTGTTGTATTCCCCGTGTCAGTTTGTTAATGTAACTGGTCTTCTTGCTGCTCAATATTAAAATCTGCAAGCACTTCCATCTGAAAGTGGAATTCTAGCAAATTACATTCCCAAGTAGGCACAGATTTATGATGTTCACTTTTCCTAACATTTTAATTTTGTAACTGTGGGTTGCTAACTACATATATAGATAGATAGGTATAGATATGTATGTATATTAAACTATTGCAACTTGCTTGTTAAGTAGCTATTTTTCTCTTCTGCACTGCTCCCATTCTGCTGATTAGAGGTTTGCTGCTTTGGTAATGTGTATCCCTCCTTCAGGCAGTTAATGATTACAGACAACTGTAACCTGTAATTTTGGGAGAAGGTTATTGAGAAGGTGATATGGCAACAACTGTAATTGTTTCTGTACCTTAGAAATGTCCTTAGCCTTTGCTGGGCAGGTATCAGGTCCTGGCTTTAGAGTGGAAGTGGTGCTGGTGTCCAGGATTAAAAACACTTTCACGTCATATTTTTCCTAAATCATGCCAGTTTGTAAAGTCAGAAAGAATGTTGTGAAAGATGGTGAGCTGCTATTTAATTCTTAATAAAATATCATTGCAAATAGTGCCTATTCCCTTCTGCACAAAAAATGACCTTTGTAGGCTTGAGAATGGAGCCCCTTGGACCTCCAAGGAGAGATGCTTATTTGTTGGAAGGGAAACCCGTAACTCCTGGCATGATTTTAGAGCCTCAGCAGTTTGTGAGCTGGAGCATCTTCAGTATCAGATTTCAGGACAAGAATCATTAGGTTGTCCAGCCTTTTGATTGAAAAGAGATCAGTTGAACAAGCTGTACTCCTCCAGCATGGAGAAGAGTTGTTTATGAGCTTTACATGGAAAAAACCCTTAACTTTAGTTATTCCATTACTAATCATTTTAAAGGAGCAGTGTGAGCACTCACACACCTGAAATTCAAACCCTAAATACTGCAGTTATTTTTATATTGTATGTAGGCACTTCGCCACTAGCACTAATGGGAGACATGTTCACATGTCATGGGGGTGCTCCTCATCATAGGCTGGATTTTTCCAGTGGATGCTTATGAGCGATTTGTACTGAAATTTTGTCACAAAATGACTAGTGTTTTGCCACTTTAAAACCATGGAAACATCACAATGTTCTTTTAGAAATGACTCCGTGAATTAATTGCAATTACTTATTAATGAAACAAATACTCAGCTGTCACTTGAACTAAACTACACGATATGCTTAATGATTAGTTTTTGAGAAAACACTTTTGTGTTCGTTTGATCTGCCTAGTGTTAACAGCAGTAGAAAAAGAGGAAAGCGTTTGGTGTCGGAATGGAAACTTGAAACTGGCAAAAGGAAGGAGAGGAAAAACATCACCCAGTAACTGCAGAATAGGTGAAAAGACCAAAGAAATAGCAGATCCATAACAATTATG